CCCAGGGCGTGGTAGAATAGTATTTTAAGATGTGTGACTTTTGTTTATACTGCATTTGTTTAACGCTGTGACGCTGCGCTACTGTACTTGTCTAAAACTTACCTGGTGGCTCATAAAGAGCAGGAGCAAGGCTGGGGGTGGGATGGGAGGCAGAGAGTATAAATAGAAGGAGGGAGGAGGAGGGCGAGGAGGAGGAGGAGGAGGAGGAGGAGGAGGAGGAGGAGGAGGACGACGACGACGACGACGACGACGACGACGACGACGATGATGACAAGGATATCAGGGGTCACCAAGCCAGCCAGTCATGGGGTAAGAAGGAAAGTCAGATATACAGAAGTAATAAAACTTTACATAAGAGAAAGATAAAAACCCAGAGGGAAAGGTAGATTGGATAATTTAAGTTAAGTAGAGCTAGCAAGAAACAAGCCAAGTTAAGGCCAAACATTCATAACTAAAAACAAGCCTCCATGTATTTATTATGGGTGCTGGGTGGTGCCCCCCCCCAAAAAGCCAAAAGAACAAAAAACATCAAGCAACACCAGAGTGCTGCCTGTAAGAAAGCAGATGAGGGTCTTGTGACACAGAACCTCAGCAGGGTTTCAACTTGGTATAACACACAACCTGACAAAGATCTAAAAATTAAGGGAAGATTATAATTGAATCCAGAATAGTCTCAAAGTACTTGCAATGAAAAGCACAGAAAACAGTTTAATCAGCGCTTTACATTCCTTCCTAGACTACAGCTACAATGTTTTATTTAGTATTACTTTTGAACAGTAATAAAGAAAATGTTATAGCTAATTTGCATTAAACACCTTTGAAGACTCAGCGTTGTGATAAGTGTATCTCATAAACTATCATACTGCTTACCTAAGACTTCCCTCTCCATTTTCAAATTGTTCAGACATTTTGGTTTTCATCTCAGGTATTTATTCATAAATACAGATGTGATATTTATCTAATGATATTCAATGCAGCTTTTTTTTTTCAAGACAGGGTTTCTCTTGGATGTCCTGGAACTCACTCTGTAGACCAGGATGTCCTTGAGTTCACGGAGATCCACCTGCCTCTACATCCTTAGTGCTAGGATTTAAAGTAGTGAGCCACCACTACCTGACACACAAAGCAACTTTAATCATAAGAATAATATGACAAAAGGGCACAGAGTCAGATTTTTCCTTCATAGTTGATAGTAGATCAACTAAAACATTATGAGAAAAATATAACCGATGCTTCTGTTTTCAAGAAAAACTATTGAATCTGGATGAGACAATCTTGGACACAGTCAGAAATAACTTGTTAGAGGCAAGATTTCAACCTTGATATTTTAACTTCAGTGGTCCACTCCTAGCCATGTACTGTAGTCCCTACCTTATATCAAATTGGTTTGGTGAGGAGTTAAAGAAATGTATGGGAGACAGAGTTAACCAAAATTATGAAAACTTACTAGGGAATCTATTGAGTCTTGGGCAGCAGATCAGTACCCATCCCAAGTATACACATGGACTTTGGACTCCCATAGAACAATGTGAGGTGCACTCTCACCCTGAACTCTTGGGGAAGGGTCTAGGCCCTGCCCTATATGAAATGACAGACTATGGACACCCCCATGGAGGGCCTCACCCTCCCTGGGGGACTGAGGGGATAATGGGGGGGTTGGGGGGAGGGCACGGGAGGAGGGGAGGGAATGGGAGAGGGATCTGGAACTGACTTGCGAAGCAACCTTGTTTCTTATCTAAATTTAAACTGGAAAATAAAATATAAAAAAAATAAAAAAAGAAACTTATTATATGGAAACCTGTAATTTCAACAACTAACTGAAATTGTACCTTATTTTTTAAAGAAAACTTTAAAAATCATAATTTGGATGAAATTATACTACATGAGTGGATAATTCTGCTTCCAGAAGCCATCAGTAATTAGACCAAAATTCACTGCTAAATGAGAGACACAGCTCTATGAGTTGTTGTTGGTTAGAGAGGTACAAGAGGCAACCAAAAATATACAGGCTATTGTCACTGTTCTTGGTTTCCCATCATAGTTTGACTGCAAGATCATATTTTTCAAGATACTGTTTACTTTGAGTGTAGGACACAGAAAAATAAACCAAGCGCCCTCTTTCCTATCTAGTATTCACTGTGCTAGAAAGTGAGATGCCAGCTGTTGGAAGAGAAGAGTCATCCATAATCTTAACAGATGTAGACTTGGCATGTTGCTGTACTGATTTGACAGACAAGATACACTTACTGGTACAATAGTGGCATAGTTATTAGAATAACTGAATCTTTCTGATTGAATATGAGTCGCATTCCTCATGAGGCAATGCATTCCATATATTGTAAACCTGTTCCAATGCCATTGACTAGGGAACTCATAGGTTCTAGGAGAGAGATTACTAAAGTTGTTTTTGCTAAAAGCACATGTTGTTGAAATGTCCCCTAATAATTTATGTTTGTATCCATAGACTGTGCTGCTCCCAGCTTTGACCACAGAAGCTTCAACTTGGAGTAAGTAAGCAGAAGTTAACTTAGAGACACAAAATGAACCCAAGTGCTGAGAGTAAATGACTGTTTGTGGGGACAACAGACCTTGGCCAGAGACCCACTTCCCCATCAGCCTGGGACCAGGCAGTTGTAAGACAATGTTTACTAAAAACAATACAATGCCCAGGGCAATAAGTTCCTGAAAAGGGCTTGCCCACAGGAACCACCCTGTCCTTGACCTTTTCCAAAGAGTAACCACCTCTTCAGACCCACCCACCTCCACCTCTGGTGTCAGGGTATATAATAACCAGCTAGAGTAGGAATAAAAGAGAGCCTTCTTGAGGAGCCTTTGGGGTCTCTGTGTTGTCAATCCCTGACACCCACTGCACATTCTCGGACACAGGCTGAGCAGTGGGCGTGGCAACTGTTAAGTATTCAACCCTAACCAGAATTTTTATGTCACTTACTCCTAGAACCAAGAAACATGAGAAGGAGAAAAATGAGTGTAAGAGGAGGAGGAAGATGAGGAAACGTGTTATACCAGGTGTTTCTATAATTGTTAGTCATTGAATTCATGAACTCATAGCAGCTGCAGTTACCTGCACCGGATCTGTCCAAGCTTGGGCCATCAACATTCTATCACTGATGATGTAAGGGCTTAAGAAGTCCCACCCCTCCTTGAGAAGTTATGAGACTTCAATGCATGCCTGGAGAAGGGGAATCGTTTCCTTCAGGTGGTAGTACAGTCACTGCTAAGGCACCCTAGCACCAGTAAATATTCCTCAACTATGGTCATGGGAGCAACCCTAATTAAACTCACTGGCATGGGCATATGCGCACACACACACACATACCACCACCCCCCACACACACATACGCACATGCACCAACACAGGAAAACTAGTTGGCAAAGAGAGCAATGGAGGTGAAACTGATAAAAATAATTTGTATATTTGTATGAACTTCTCAAATGGGCAATACTATCATAACTTAAATATAGAAAAGTTTTACCCTTTAACAGAACACCTTTTACATTGTGGATTATCACTACCTTGTTATACATATTGCATGCCCTTTCACAGAACATATTCCTGGATGCATGGACTGTGGACTTCTCTTGCTTCTTTAGGACACTGAACCTTTCGGATGCATCTTCATTACATTCTTGTCTGGGGTCCAGTGAGTCTCATCTATGCACAAGAGTACTTTACTGGCTAGACAAGGGCACCTTGTATGAGAAGAAAGTTTCATATAACGTGAGAGGCCCTGGTGATGTGAGTTTAAGGAGGCCCATCTCCAGCTGTACTAACAGACATCAACCACAAACTAGTTTTAACATTTAAAATAAGTCCCTATACATTTGTCCTTTTCAAAAATAGAATAGAACAAAGAAAACTTAAACTTGGGGAAAAAAGGCAAAACAAAAATAAACAACCCTACATTATGGAAGAGAAGGAGGAACAATAATATGAGCAACAGGGTCAAGACCATTTTGGGGAAACCCACAGAAACAGCTGGACTAAGCTAGTGGGAGCTCACTGACTCCAGAATGAACCTGTATAGGACCAAACTATGCCCTCTAAATGTGGGTGACAGTTGGGCAGTCTATGGGGCCCCTGAATTTATCCCTAGTGTTTGAACTCGCTTTTTGGAGCCCATTCTCTTTGGAGGGGTGACTTGCTCAACATAGATTGGCTGCCTCAGAGTAATGTGCAGGACTTTGGTCACTCCCCATGGGAAGCTTTACCCTCTCTGAGGAGTGGAGGGAGGTGGGGTGGTGGGAAGGTGGGGGGAATAGGAGGAGGGGAAGAAATAGGAACTGGGATTGGTATGTAAAATGAGAAAATATTCTATTAAAATAAAAAAGTATAAAAAATATAAAGAAAAGAAAACAACAAACAAAAGAACCCTACATTAATGAAGAAGGATAGCAGAAATCTGAAGCTATGGTTCCCATAGCAACTGGAACACAGTTGAACTTCACTTTTATGTTAAATAAGTTTTACTTGAATAGTAATGCAAAATACTTCTTCTGAGCCAAAATAAGAATTACAGGAAACACAGAGACAATGGTCCAAAATATTCTAGCATCCAACTAGTTTAAACACTCTCCCTAATGTGCATTGAAAATTTCACATCAGTAGTATATAGTTGTTTATGGTGGTTTTAAGCTATGTTTATCTAATTCTTGAGCTAGGATTGTTTTAAATGAGAAAAAAACTTATTAAATTTTCTTAATTCAGAGGCCACAATGGTAATTTAGAAACATAGGATCATGGTTCTGCTTGTAATTATATGAAACCATTTGCCCAATGTGCAATTAATGAAAGTACAATATGATTATATCCATTATCAAACTCAATTACTACTGATGTCGTCTGAAACTAGGAAAATAAACACATGATTTAAGAACATACTACCATTAAATTAGGGTATATATTTAGTTTGCAGGAATTCTGTAGGTTGCATATCTTTCTCCAGTTGAGTAAAGAAGATAAATGCAGGCAGAATACTTACTCCTGTTATGTAACGAGGTCTATATTGAATAGTTCCAAACAAACCAAGGATGACGATGATAATATGTACAAAATTTGCAAGGATAGGTGCCCACTGATATCCAAGGAAATCAAATATTTGCCTCTCCAGCACACAAACCTAGAACAGCAAAAGAGGATGGAATAGGTCAGCACAAAAGAGTCAAAGATGAAAGGATCGGTATGACATTGTAATTAGCAAGTATAACTCAGCTATTGTATGTGGTGATGTTTTTTACAGTCTTATTGCAAAAGAACACCATTCACCATCTGAGTATCCACAGAGAGCCATTCACCTTTAAGGGATGATTCTGTGGAGGCACCAAGCACTATTTATAAGATGTCATTTGCACAATCTCATTCTCTCTGTCTCTCTGTCTCTCTGTCTCTGTCTCTGTCTCTCTCTGTCTCTGTCTCTCTCTCTCTCTCTCTCTCACACACACACACACACACACACACACGGTATCGTTATATTCACTATCAATCATTTGAAGTTATCAACCAGAAAGGTAAGCAAGTCCCCATGCAGGGATTGTTTGGATCTCTTCAAATGTCACTCTGTAAGTTGAGTATTCACAAGGGGAGTTGATACAGAGGAATAAAAGAAAGTCAGGAGTCACTGAGATTTTGGAAGATCTACAACCAAACAAGTTACATGAATCATTTCTTCTCAGAGTGTCTGACACCCTTCTCTAATGTGAAGAACTTCAACAGATGGGAAGGGCACTTTCAGTCCTAACAGTGTAGAGCTATAAAGCAACCACATTTTTATTATACAGGCAATGTAAAAGAAGGGTCAAAAGGGAAATAAGAATGTGAAAAAGAAAACAAGAAAGTAGCATTGTTGTTTTTTAAAGCAAGAGCATTTAATCTATGCTCTGCAGTTTGTAATTAGAACATATAAGAATTTTAAGCAGTGAGAAGATAGAAATAACAACAACAAAATAACAGTAACAAATTGTAAATAGCTCTGAAATAAATATCATTTTTACACCAGATAGTGAAACCAGATTGCTGGCAAATCCTTCATTAGTGAAACAAAACAAACAGCCTATCAGCTTTCTTGCCTGTCCTCAGGTGGACTGATCATAAACTCATTGTTCAGAGAAAAATATTGCAAATGGTCTCAATGTTCCACACTAAGACTCGGGAAAACTCAGCCATGATTTCAAATGACATGGTAATTTAAAAATCCTCCAACTTCCAAAAGCTAGCCAAAGTGTTTTGGCTGGCTCTTGGAAACCTATTCCCCATAATGGGTTGCCTTGAGCAGTCTTAATACAATGGGAGGTGCTTAGTGCTACTGCAACTTAGTGTGTCATGTATTGTTGATATTCATGGGAGCCTGCCCCTTTCTGAATAGAAAGGAGGAGGATTGGATGTGGGTGTCAGAGGTGATGTTGGGAGAGAGAATGGGAGGGGAGGAGGCAGGGGAAACTGTGGTCTGAATGTAAAATAAAGAAATAAATTAAATTTAATTAATAAAAATTCCCTTACAACTTACTTATATCATTATGCTTTCATAATATTTGTCACCAGTAAGAAATAGTGAATCTCAAACTGGGAAATCTGATTTTCAAATAAATACATATGAGGCTAGTGAGAAGGCTCAAAAGGTTAAGGTGCTTATTGTAACCCGGGTGGTGGTGGCACATGCCTTTAATACCAGTACTCGGGAAGCAGAGACATGCGGATCTCTGTGAGTTCGAGGCCAGCCTAGTCTACAAAACTAAAAAAAAAAAAAAAAAAAAAAAAAAGCTAATTGTGCAAGCCTGATGACTGGAGTTAGATCCACTAAGCTAACAGCAGAATGGAGAAAACTCTTTCCCAAGAATTGTGCCCTGACTTCCGTATATGCACAGTGGCACATATGTGAAATCCATGAATGTGTACACAGACATCCATTCTCTATAATGCATATTTCATGTATTCCTTAAATTATAGCATAAATAAATTATTTCCACCTCCTCTTTACTCTATTTCACCCCTCCCATGTACCCCCTTGCTCTCTCACAAATTCATGGTCTCTTTTTCCTGTGCGTGTTCATAACTACATAAATACAGCCTTTTATTCCATATAATGTTACCTGTATGCATTTTTAAGTTTAAAATTTGTACATATGGTTTAGGCTGAAGACTTCTGGAATGGGCATCATTCCCACTTTACTTCTTTAGCTAAGTAACAGACTTCCTCTTGGGGACTTGAAAGAGAAAAGAGATTCCCAAAACCTGTTGGTATAATAGCCCCATTTCCTAAAGCAAAGTGTGAACCATTCAATGACTGTAATTGTTAGAAGCCAACTTAAACAGATTGTGTTGCTGTATCTTTGCAGGGATAGGGGAAAATAAAGAGGAGGGAAAGGAGGAAGGGTTGATGATGATGATGGTGATGATGATGATGATGATGATGACCTAGGCTGTGGTTCCCTGCATATGCTAAATCCATTATAGCGCCAGATAAGCGATACAATATCCTGATTGGCTAATGACCACAAATGTCTGTCGAGCTTGAATATAGCAGCTTCATATACAAAGTACTTTCCAAGAAGCTGAAACATTCCTTTAGCTATTTCAAGTATTTAGCAAGATAAATGAAATCTATCTGTGACGCAGAGCAATGTTGAATGCACCTTGAGTGCCTGCATAAAAAGTACCAAAAATTAAATAGTTCTTCTGACAGAACAGCGCCTGGTAATGTATATGAAAGCTCATTCCCACACCAGGCTTCCTTGTCTTTGCTTATGAATAAATGGTAAACAAAAATGAAAGACAACAGCAAGAAAAATCTGAACTCTGTATTTTGAGCACCATAACTGTGGGAACACAGCAGGAGAAAAGCACAGAGCATATCAGTCAAGCAGTGGGAAATTTCTGAACAAATGGACCAATTACACAAGAAGATCATACTGCTATCATTAATTATAAAAACACGCAAACAATGATGTACTTGCTAAGTTTGCAAGGCTAAAATGAAAATTTAACAGTATTTATTATGTTCATCATGACAGAACTAATAGCTTCTTCCTCATGAGATTATGAAGACAGAAAAATCATGTAAAGGATGTTTTACTCTCTCTCTCTCTTCCCCTCTCTCTCTTTTTCTCTCTCTCTCCCTCACTCCCATCATCCCTCCCTCCCTCCCTCTCCCTCTCTTTTTCATTGTTATACTGTACATAATAAATAACCTTATTACAGGTGCTATAATTTAAAGCTACACTGAAGATGGAAGCCATTCAGTAAGTCTAAAATGGGTGACACTGACAATTTTTAGGCATAGTTCAGTTTTTCCTCAAATTTCATCGATCAGAAAGTAGTATATGTAAGAATAAGATATTGTCTAAACCCCCTGATATCCTGGATACATACACACCCCTCCTCAGTCATTTACAAATCCAAGAACATAAACATGATTGTCAGACGATCTAGATTAAAGATTTTAAGATTTATCACTTCTGATTATCCTGTGGTCCCAATAGTAGTATTGGAAACTAAATATAGTATCTCATTGTTGGAGAGGTGGAGACATGAAAAATCTGGGGCCCTGCTGGCCAACACTCTATGCAAATCAGCAAGTTCCGGGTTCAATGAGAGGACCATCTAAAAAAAAAAAAGCAAGTTCGGAAAGTGATCGAGAAAGACATCCAACATTGACCTTTGACCTACACACACACACAGAGCTACAAACATAAGGAACATGCACATAGCAACACACAGGCACACGCACAAAGACACACACATGCACACACGTACACATACACACAACCACACACATAGATACACACACGCACATGCACACACACTCAGGCAAGCACACACAGGCATATACACATGTACATACACACATGCACACACAGACATACAAGGTACATGTACACATACACATACATACATGCAAGCACATACACTCACACATACACTTACACAAGCAACCACATACACACACACACACACATACACACAACATATATCCTAGTGTTATGTTGTAGGCACTATACTGGTGATAGAAAATATGCTATTTTATTACCTCTTTTATTTTGGTATAATGCAGAGAATCTTCAACCATACTTTGAGTTTGTGATATTATCTTTGGTGAAAGCAAAAGTCATGATTTGCCTTTTTGGTTGTATTTCATTTATTGCTTCCTTTAATGCAATTTTACTGGTATTCTGGTTTTGCCCATGGGGTGCTTTCAAATGCAGTTACCTGATGTCCTTCAAATAATCTGATACATAAATGGAAGGAATTGGCCTTGAAAAACACAGTACTATTGTTTACTTCACTGTCTTATTTTCACATAAACATCAAGTGTAAAAAGCTTTTGTATTTAGATCTTTCTTACACATAAATTTTGGTCCTTCCATTTACCTTTTATACAATAGTCTATTATAAATGTATAATTTATTACCTTTAATTACTTGGCACACAAATCATGCTGGCCCATTCATTATAGAGTTTTTATTTTTAACAAATTAGGGGCTAATCTTTGATCACCAATATGAGTGATGATGTTAATAGTCTTCCTTATTGTGCATGGTAGAAATCCCTATTTGGACTGATATATTGCTAACACATTTCTATTTTGTGTTAAAATTCAACAACAAAATTGAGGAAATATTATTTGTCATTTTTGTATCTACAATGTGCCTAAAATGTAGTTCTTTCTATGACACTATAATAAAGACTTTTTCCTTGCTTCAGAATATAAATGTGACATCGTTTTCCTTAAATATTTCAACACTTTGGAGGAGCCAAGAAGTCTCATTCTGTTTTTTCAAAGGCCATCTGTACAGACATGGAACACTACTGTAGACTGCATAGCTTTGGAATAAAATAAAAATATAGAGGTCAGGATAAGGGCATAGACTTGCACCATGTGGCTATCCAGTTTCCACTTATTTACATAAATGGAACTCCAATGTGGTTATGACTTTGTATATTCTTTTTCTCTGGGGACTACCATTAAGTTTTCTATATTAGCATACTCTACAGTCATAAACCTACCTTGTTGTATTTTATTAAGGTATTTTTTAAATTTAGGTATTTAATTTGCTTCTAAGTTTTGGAAGCCACTACTGTGAATACAAAAAACAGACTTATATTAATATGTCTACAGGCCAAACT